CATGCATGTATCATTGGCAGATTGTATAAGAAGGGTCATCTTTTTTGATTTATTGAATAAATTTAAGCATGTGTTACTCAAGTTAATTTTTTTATTTTCATTAATGGGGCACTTGAAAACTAGTTTTCTTCTAACACGGGGTTAAGATAAGGTTGCATTTATTCTCCCTTATTATTTTTATTGTCATGGATGGCTTTCTAATTTTATTAAGCATAGTATCTCTAGCGAACAGTTTAAATCACTTATATATAAACATCACTCTCTCAGATCCCATCTTATGTATGTTGATGACTTAATCATTTTTTGTGAGACTTATATCCATAAATTTCTTAGACTTGATAATATGTTGATGACCATTCATAAGGCTTTAAACCTTATGCTCAATTTCTCTTAAAGTTCAATCTGATACACAAAGAACACTTATAATACTCATGTTGTCAGTGGCACACTTGGCATCACCACATCTCAATCTAGTTTCACTTAACACAATTATATATTGGTTTAAAACTATCTTCTTACCAAAATGTTGCATTAAGCTTATACATAATGTTGCTTAAAATTTCTCCTCCATGATAGCACTGGCAATAGGAAACTCCATTTGGTATATTGAGGCGGAATTTTTAGGCCTAAGAATTATGGAGGCCTTTATTTTCACCTTATTCAAAATTTATCTTTTGCTTTAATAATAAAGCTGGACTCACTAATTTCAAGGAAAAAGCTTTGATAGTCAATTGATTTTGTGGACATTATGTCTCTCTCTAATACCTTAATGTTAACAAGAGCTCCTACTTGTAAAAAATGATAAAAGTAATTGTAGATCTCATCAGGCTATTCCTCTCTTTCTTTATTAGGATGGTTCTCTCATCTCTTTACTTTAGTATCCCTAGTATTTGAGAAAGAACATTAGGGAAATACTTAATGCTAATGCATTTAATTCTCTCCTTGTCTCCCCAGGTGACAGGCTTAACATTCTTAATGAGCTATCTGGTTGGAATTCCCTTGCTCAATGACTCATTCTTACATTCATAATGGTGGAGATAAGCCTCTTTGGAATGGTGTGGATTCACCTTCCATTACCCTTATATGTGACTACCTTTATGCTTCTTCACCTTCTTTTAGTTGGATCAACAATATTTGGCATAAAAATTGTACTCTTTGCATTCTATTTACTATTGGCTGGTTGTCTGAGATGCTCTCAAAACTACGAATACTCTCATGATAGACATTCTCTTGGCTAGAAACATTTCTTGCCATATTGAATGTTTATTATATTACTCATATAATGAATCTATCAATCATCTGCTCTGCTCGTGCACATTTTTTAACGAGTCCTGTGTGTCTTTTCTTTTCCAATTACTTCAGATATTATATCATATTTTCTCTATGGTTAACAATCCTAAAATGCTAAAAAAAAATAGTTAATATCTATTTATTGCATTGTCTACCATATATGTTTGAGAGAAATGCTAGAAGATTTGTAACTGTAATCACTACTGGTCCACTGTTCTCTTCAAGGTAAAATATGCAATTTTAACCAAATTCAATATTTGGGGAAAAACACATATGAGATGAGATTCACAAAGAGTTCTTTTAAGTCTCATGGGCTGCCAAATCATGCAAATTTCTTGTACTTGAATCAGATGACAGATTATCCACAAGTAACCTGCATATAATGGGCTACTCCCTTTTAAAGTAATGATGTCACTTTCCCTTATAGTTAGTGCAACACAATTGATTGGAAATGCTTTCTCGTTTTTTTTTTGTTCCTTGCTTTACACTATTACCTTTACATTTTTATTTCAAGCAAGCTATGTTGTTTTTTAATTACTCATTTCTTTAGGTATGGTTGGGTTGGGCTTCATATTCCTATTATATTTTTAGTCCTACTCATGTGAGGGCATTCATGATGCATCAATTTGGACTCAGCCCTCCTTTTTTTTTGTTTCATTTTCTTTATTTTGCGTACAACTTTTCATTATGATTTTGTTTCATTTTCTACTTGTAAGTTTGGTCCATATTATTATGTCCTCATTTTGATGCACATTTGACTTTTTGTAACCATTATTTTGAAGTGAAAAAAGTTGGGCTCTTTTCTCAAGTTTTCCCCACAAAGAAAGAGAGAATATTATGATAAATACTTTCACTTATATAATATTCTTATATTTAAAATGTTAATTTATTAATAAATATTCAAAAAATAAGTTAAACAAATTTAAGAGATTATTCATTTTAAAAGTTCCTAAAAATTTATCACTTAATATCTTTATCAAAGCAACACAAAATTTTTTGGCTCAACAATTATTTCAATTTATCAAGATATTTGTCAATCATTGTACCAATTATATATATATATATA